TCGTGTGCAGTAAGAAATCTTAAAGAGCACCCTTACCAAATCGGGAGTGAACTTCTTAGTCCACCTGCTGTAGAATGCTTTGTACAGCTGACACATTCAACTGTTTGAAATTCCAGTGCCTGTTGTCGGTGTGATGTTTTAGTTCAGTTTTGCTGATAAAACTGAAGGCTATAATAGCGTGACCATCTTTCCCCAGGAGAGTCAGGATTGGTAGGTTGACGATTAGGAATTGTTCGTTCTCAATTACGCAGTTTAAGCGTGATGGCGTCTGACTGTTTCTCCAACGAAAAGTTGACTCTAGGAAGATTAAAGTCCCCTAGAATCAGGATAAAAGTGGATCCGAGACGAGTAGAGAGGGTTAATCTTTCCAACATACTATTGTCGTACTTAATGTCATCAATGGGCTTCTTGTAGATGACTCCAACTAGACACCCTGAAGTGTTAGACAGTCTTAATGAACATCATAAGATGATGATATTCGTAAATCTAAATGTCTATTTTGGCTTACATAGAGTCAACCAAACTGAATATAATATACAGCCGGGTGGTTATGTATTGAACACTCGAAAGCTATTTAAATTTATACACTTTGGTGGGAGTTCAAGTCATCTTATTGAATTGCGCCCATCGATTCATTCATCCATGTTAGGAGTACATTCAAGGTGACAAGTTTATAATTCTCATTTCCCTTTCGAACTAATGCGATATCTACCGATGCCATGATGATCGATCTATGAAACACATTAGACGTCCCCTATGTATGTTAAAATTTCGTCAAAAACTTGAAGCTCTCGACTTCGGAACAAAATTAATCAGTTCCGGGTAAATTTAGAGATAGTCCCGTTCGAAACCTTGGGTGCATTTCGGGGAGCTACAGCGGAAGTCCCTTAATTTACCATGATCTGGGAATTTTCCTAAACTCCACCCGAATTTTTTTACACGTATATACGTGTATTGGGAGAATCTTATGGGTTACTAATAAGATATCTCAAAAGCTTTAATAATTTTTGGCTTTTCTTAGGTCCAGGAGTTATACAGGGGACTCTTCTAGTGGCGTCCCTTAGAACAAAAAATGAATTGTCTATTAGCTATTACGATGAAAATTAGCTTGTACATATAACGCCTTTATCCTTCATTATTACCTTTCAAACCTTGCATCATGGAACAGACTGACATAACTGAGTTCTTAAATGTAATACAAGTAGTCTTTCTTTTAAACACTTTCCATAGCTTATATCAGTGTTATAAGTTGAATTGTGTATTTAATAAAATTATAAAGGTGTGCTGAAAAGAAATGCTTCGAAACGTTTACATAGACTTTTTTTGGGTGTCACTGAACCATGGAGAATACTGTCCACTTAAGTTCGTGGTATTCAGAAACAGAAAGCCGAAATAAGAAAATCACTATTGGCAAATATAAGATTAGAGTATACCAAATGTGTATTTAACTGAGAATAACATGAGCTGTAGTAAAATTTGTACATTCATGAGAAATAGGAAACTTACTGTAATGTCACCCAGCGTTTTGTTGGCAAGCTGAACATTACAATAAAGATCATTGAAACAGTTTATTACAACCTAAGAGCTGATTGTGCAATCATGAACTTGAAACCATACATATATGGTCACCGGCTACCATGGGACTGCGTCTTCTTACGTTGCTCCACTGCCTTGTGGATTAGATCTTAAGGTCAAAGGTTCGGGATGTGGCCCTCTAGGAAATTTACGTGCTTCGGTTTGGGCACCCAGACAGTATCCTAGCCCTCATATAAATCGAATGATTTATGTGGAACATATCTATCTGGTGTACCCTTGTGCCAATAAATTATCCAAACTTGCACTATCTTTTGTTGCTCAACGAAATACTTTGTATCTTTCATCGTGCATGTAAGCCGGACAAGCGGAATCCTTTTTCTCCCATATATCAGTCTGGCTGACCAAGTGTCTTTTAAACCGTGAAAACGATACATTTGGACAAGATTGTTTCAGTTTCAGCTTGGAAAGGACAAGAGGCTAGATCGCATGTGTTAGTCTTAGCAATGGTGGTCTCTCAGTTGATCCAACTTTCTTTTAAAAGAGTCTATAGATGGAGCTTCAACCTTGTGTTGAGGTAGTGTAACCTTTTCGTTGATGATTCTATGGGAAAGCCGATAGTCAGCTGACAAGTAATTTGTCCTGGGCTCGTGAACTTTTTTGGAGTGTCCTCGTAAATTCTCTTTTGGAAGATAAGAAAAATGAGGGCATATCAAATGCAAATTTATCACTAAGTAATTTGAAAACTAATCAAGTCACCTCTTGTTCTTCGACATGACAATTTGTGTAGGTTTAGTTTAGCCAGTCGACCATCATACGAGAGCTTCACTGTTCCGGGAATCAGCTTAGTTACTGTTCTCTGAACCTTTTTCGAAAGTCCATTGTCTTTTTTAAGCGGGGACCAGCCTCTTATATGTAATACTCAAGTTTAGGACTCATGAATGCTGTATACATTGAAGAGGAATAACACTGGCCCCAAAACTACGCTAACTCACTCCGCTAAGGCTAACGGGTCGGTAGTTCTCAGGTTTATGTTTCGTACCTGTTTTGAAGACAAGGACTTAATATGGCGTCCTCCTAGTCTCTTGGTAATCGACCCTGGGTTACAGATAGATCGAAACATAACTTAAGGGGTTCGCAACGAAATTAGCTAGTTCCTTTAGTAGCCTAGGATACGTTTCATCGAGTCCAATAGATTTACCTATATCAAGCTTATCTAGCAGACCAAAGATATCAAGTTCTTGGTGTGTGTGGGGATTTGTCTGAACTGAAGGGAAGGGTGTCTCTACGGTATATTTATTACTAAAGTGATATGAGAATACCTGAGCTTTACCATAGTTTTTCTACACTAATGATGAGGCATTATTGTCTCCCTATAGTGCCGGAATATTTCCTCTTTTAGTCTTTTGGTTTATATATGAATACAAACGTTTAGGGCATTCTATAGATTACTTAACAATTTTTTCTTTGGACAACCTTTTAGACTTACGAAGGGTCGGGGTACAAATATTTCGAGCTTCTCGATATTGAGATTTTGTCTCGTAAGTACCCAGTAACCTAAATCTTTCGCACATTCTTCTCTTACGAAGAGTGCGAACCTCCCTACTGAACCATGGTGGAGAGTTTCTCGGACCCCTCGGTGTAGTCCAAGGCATTGGGGACTCTGGCTCTATTATCCAATATACTGACGATGCTGAGTATATAATATCTTCTATATTTGCTTTCCAGACGTTGGGTTGGGCTGACGCGTGCTCGTTCTTGACAACTATACAGAAGTAAAGGATTAAAACTGCATGATCACTTTTACTTAGGGGTTCGTGACGTCATCCTCATAATAGGTCAATATAGGATCTAGTAAAGATTATTCAGAGTCCGGGTCATACATAGTCGCTTCTTTCACATGTTGCACTATGACACATGTGATTATAAACAATTACTGCTAACTGTTCTTTGAAATCGATAGTTACTAATCCCCGCCTTCAGCTTTGTTCCATGCGGTATACTGAATATGGAGTTAGGGTGATGCCCCCAAATGCCCTGGTACGGCCGAGAGTGGGGAGAGTCCGCTCTCCCTCTCGAAATGCTCTCACATGGCCATGCGTATATAGCCCCTGCCAGGGAAGTCCTACTCACTGCCTTCTCGTGGCGGGGGTGTTGTTTACAAAAATGAGAAGACGAAAAGCGAATGTCTGGCGCTTTAACCGGACCCCAAACCAATGGTGCACATGGGCTCCAGTATCCTGCGGGAACAAATGGCGTATGAACCAATCGTTGGTCACCGGCTACCATGGGACTGCATCTCCTCACGATGCTCCACTGCCTTGTGGGTCAGACGTTCAGGTCAAAGGCTCGGGGTGTGGCCCCCTAAGACAACCACCTGCTTCGGTTTGGGCACCCGGGCAGTATCACAGCCCTCACACAAATCAATTGAGATTTGTGTGGCGCATATGTATTTTGGTGCCTCCCTGTACCTATACTTATGTGTTAAAATAAATAAATAAATAAATAGTTAGGGTGATAACATGGGCTAATGAAGACCTAGCAGTTTTACAGTGATCATCTTCCTTTATCCCCGACAATTTGTTCACCTGAATTATAATTAACAAAAATTGCAACCCATAAAGTGATCTTGGAATTTATCGTCTGCTAGCGCATCTGCCTCTTAATGGCCACGTTTCGCAGCCGTAAAGTAGAATAGAACGAACTGCCGCACACTATACTCGTCATTTTATTAGTAGACAGATATCTCGCCTTCGCTATCGGTGACTCAAGTTGGCAAAAGCCAAACGAGCTTTTTGAATCCTTGCGGAGATTTCTTTAGACACCAACCCATTAGGGCTGATCAGACTTCCAAGATATGTGAAGTTGTCGATGCGTGGCCATTAAGTTACTAGTATTTGATGACAGATGTCTTAGAAATATTACCAGCATCTACTAGGATCGCAGGGTAAGTAATAGTGAGGTTAGACGTCAGGGTATTGGAGGATAGTGGTAAATCAGTTGATGAGGTTGTGAATCTTCATCGACTGAGATGGTTGGGTCACGTGTTGCGTATACCTGAACACCGAATACCATGACGCGCAATGCTGACTAGTGTAAGAGATGGTTGGAAGAAAGTTAGGGATGGCCTAACGAGAACTTGACATCAGTGCTTGAGGTCACTAACTTCTGGTCTGAGCCATGTTCGTAGATGCAGACTACTTGGTTGGGGCCTGCGTGACTATCGTAACCAATGGTTGGAGACTCTTGGTGACATGGCTCAGAATCGATCATAATGGCGTCGGTGCATACACTCGCTGTCTTCCCTTAAACCGTGAGATTAAAATTGCTTTATATCTTTCTTTCTACCAACTAATTCTTTTTCCCTGTATCATATCTTTATGCACAATCTTTCTTTTAGATATTACTACCATTGAATTAACTACTTCTATGAATTTGGTGTTCATCTTGCTATGCTAATGAGGTGTGGCAACTTGGACCGATGCATATACATGCCTGGTCCTACTTTGTAAATGATTGACTGACTGATACAGAGAGGCCTGGTACAAACAGTAATTTCTTATTACAACTTGTAAGTGACTAGTTTTCTAAGAGCGTCAAGTCTGTGAAAATATAAAATTTCAGTTATGAATAGTTGGGAGGCGCATTTTCTTCCTTTGGAGATTTCCGGGATGCCTTAATGATGTTAATTAGATTTCCCGAGTTTGTGTAATGTATTGTGAATTGTAGGGAATGTTTTTGGAAAAACCCCAATATTGTGTGCGAATATTGGGGTTTTTGAATGTTTGCTCGAAATTTCTAATGCGACTTCGATTAAACTGCTTCACATTTTCCTCTAAGTTGGAAGGTTAGTTATATTTTTGGTACTTCAAAAGAAAGAGATGTGTAGTTATTGAAGTACTTAAGAGCCCATGTTTTTTTTTTTTTTTTTTTGATCTGGTACTTTCATCCCAATAACCATTAACATACGTATATGCATATACACCATGTCATCACGATTGCGAGGTACTGCATGTCTAAAGACTGTACCTATATTGTAAACTTATTAAGATAAGCTTCTTCCATTCCTGATTTTTCAACTATAGTATCTCCTGCAAATTACTTGTAGATCGTGTAACGTTTGTCGTTGTGTTCCGAAATGGCAGTACCAAAAACTGTTGAGCAGGCTTTTTCAGGTCACAAACGAACCAGTTCTGTTGCATAAACCTGGTAGTACGGAACGTCAGAGGTTGGATAGTACGTTGGATACTATGATTTCAAACAAGCCATATCATGTGCCTATATGTATTGATTCAAACGAGTTATCATCCGGACAACCTCGAAGGCAGATTTTGGTATGTCAAGAAAGTGTTTTTTTTAATGAGAAGAATCAAGCCATTTCAGCATTCGAAAACATTGGTCAATTTTTATCATGCCTCAGGAGAGCAAATAAAATATGCAATTGAGTCTTGTCTAATAGCTCGTAAAACGTGGTCACGCACAAGTTTTGATGAACGCGCTAAGATATTCCTAAAAGCAGCGGACCTTGTTAGCGATAAATATCGCATGGAATTGTTGGCATCAACTATTCTCGGTCAAGTAAGACCATATACTTTCTATTCTAAGCTATGCCCACTTTAAGGCGAAAACAATTTTTCAGGCTGAGATTGACGCAGCTGCAGAATTAGCAGATTTCTTGCGTTTTAATGTGCAATTTGCCTCAGTATGTATTTACTTCAAGTTCAAATCTCTTCTTAACCACAGGAAGCTCTGCAATATAAACCAATTAATACCCAGGATGCAAAGAATGAAGTAATTTACCGAGCAAATGAAGTAATTGTCATCACTCATCCCTTTTGATTATTTTTTGTCTCTTTTTCTTAAAGGGGTTTTGGGCTGCTATACCACCATTTAATTTTACCGCTATTGCAGGGAACCTAGCAAGTGCCCCAGCTTTAATGGGGAATGTTGTGATTTGGAAACCCGCTGATACATCCGTATATTCTAATTATATTGTTTACAGGTAAGAAGTTCATTAGAACATATTTTTACAATATCCTTTTTTGGAGATAATTTGTAGTAGTCATACAAGAGCCATATTGTCTATTTTTCTGTTCAAACAGAAGTATTTCTTGGTCAATCTGACCTTATGGTACGTATTAACATTTGTGGATGGATATGTCATCAATTAAGGTCTGTGGGTTTATAAGGATTTCATAATCTTCGTTAACATACTTACAAACAAATGGTTTTCCGACCAACAAACTGCGCTGTCGACCGGGTGTCCTTCGTAATTCTGATAACTGACGCGTATTATGATTAATCAATCACCGATTTCTTCAAATCCAGACCACTAAATTTTAGTATAATTCTTCCGTTAGTTTCAGCAAGCCACGAAAATATTGGTAGCCGAAGATATCGAAAACCTTCAGCTCATAGTGGAGATATCCATAAATTTTATTTCTCATATCAACGTTTTCAAATAACAGAATTATTTATATTATACGGGATTTGGTTGGTGCCCCCAAATGCCCCGGTCCTGGTACTGCCGAGAGTGGGGAGAGTCCGCTCTCCCTCTCGAAATGCTTTCACATGGCCACGTGTATACAGCCTCTGCCAGGGAAGTCCTACTCACTGCCTTCTTGCGGTGGGGGTGTTGTTTACGGAATTGAGAAGGCAGAAAGCGAATTTCCGGCGGTTCGTGTCTACCAACCCGGTGAGTTGGAAAACCCTGATTCAAAACCAATGGTGCATGTGGGCTCCAGGATCCTGAGGAAACAAATGGCATATGAACCTATTGTTGGTCACCGGCTACCATGGGACTGCGTCTTCTTACGTTGCTCCACTGCCTTGTGGATTAGATCTTAAGGTCAAAGGCTCGGGATGTGGCCCTCTAGGAAATTTACGTGCTTCGGTTTGGGCACCCAGACAGTATCCTAGCCCTCATATAAATCAAATGATTTATGTGGAACATATCTATTTGGTGCCTCATACCAATGTTTATGTGTTTAAATAATAAAATAATAATGATGTTTACTAATCCAGTCATGGTGTTGTGGATTGATGGTTAAAACACTGCTTCCATCCATTGTGTTTCAAGCTCGAACACCGCTGCCCTTTGTTCTTGGGAATCAGGTAGTATCATTAACTGCGCAGCTTGGTTGAAAGCCGAGTACATAAACCTATACTTAGTGAATGTCATAATAATAACAAGAATATTTCTGACGTACTAAATAGTTTATGAATTTACTGTACGTGTTTATTCTCACTTATGTGTTACACTTTACAACACTGGCTCTCATATCTTCCAGTTTCTTTATTATGTAATTCTAAAGATTATTCCGCGAAGCAGGTTTACCCCCTGGTGTAATCAACTTTGTCCCAGCAGATGGCCCAACATTTGGTAAAATAATTTGTGAACACCCTCAACTTGCTGGTATCAACTTCACTGGAAGCACGAAGTGAGGATAGTCTTTTTGTTTATTTTATTTGTGATATAAATAACCGATGTAAAATGGGATCAAAGAACGAAGGTTTTAATGTTGTTTATGTGTCGAAACCTAATAATGACGGGTATGTTTTTATCGATTGGAGAGTCTGAAACCTACAAAATATTGTCTAATCGTTTCAAAACAACCATTAGTTTTGTTAGTAATTTGTATATAAGTTCGTTCTTTTACCATCAGAATGGTTGTTTCTTCTGGCTAGTTGTCTTATTTTTGATTTCAAACCATTCGGACGGCTTTGCTCAACCTAGATTCGTCACGATGATAATAACACTAAAATGTTATTGAGTCCATCCACTGAAAAAATAATATTACTTAAAACTAAATCATTTGTTAATTTTTTAAAATTATTCAGTGGTAAATGTAATATGTAATGATCATTGACCACTTTAGTCGTAAATACTTAATGAATTTACGGTCGTATTTTTAATTAATATAACAGACTAATACAAATTGTTGTACGACCTTTTACTTACTTTTAGATGTAGTTATAACTTTACTGATTATATTATATGCGTGAATATCTATTTCCATTTGTTTATATTACTCATCTATTTTCACATATATGCTCATGTTGGTTATTCACTTCTGACTTTGAACCTATTTCAGTAGCTCTCACCCTGTGTTTCTGAAATACACACCCTAATTGATTATTTTGTAATTTATACATTTTCCACTTTATATAAAGAAAAAAAAACCACTCGTTATTCACTGAGTAACTTTTTACAGTTACTCCTTTCTGCATCTACTCAATTTACATATTCACTCGTTCAGTTTACCCGCTCACACGAATGTTTGAAATATACATATCCTAGATGCAACTTCTATCCAACTTTTTATTTCTCTGCTGTAGTAATGTTATTAGTCTTCAGAAGATGTACGAAGTTTAATAGGTCGTATATTTCACTAGCATTATCATCATTCAATCATATTGGAGTCAGACAATGATCACTAAAAGGCTTTGAGTTGTAGAGTAGTATAGTGTTAAGGTTTCGAATGTTCAAACTATCTTGTTACAGCTTAAACGAGAAGCTGGGATTGCTCAAACACCTTAGTTTTTTTAGTTTTGTAATTCTAATTTTTACCTTCTCACAAAAGCCTCCTTCAACCTGCTAACCACGTTCTCCTTTGCTCCCTTCTTAATAGTTATTTTATCTTATATATTATTTCATTCGCTGCTGTCAAAGGTCAATTACCAACTACTACTGACTGAATGAAAGGCGTGTTATACAATAATTGTGTCTTCTCCTAAATATATAAAGGTTGTATTTTAGGAGATCGGTTCTTCTTATCTTATACTGTTTTACCCAACGATTGATGTGTTGTTACCTTGCACAGCGTAAGCGTCTTTGTCGCTATGTAATGATCAAGCCAATTTTAGAGTACGTGTTTAGTCTCTGTGTCATTTAGTTCAGAATTCACTTTAAGATTTGATCTAGTTAAGGTTTTGACCACCAACGTTTTTCACTTCGATTTTCCTACTGTTGCACTTTTATTAGGAATTATGGTTTACATTTTAGAACCTTTCGTGCTATATTGAAAATGATTGGCGACAACGTTGACAAGTATTGTGGTTATCCAAGAACTATAGGTGGTAAGTTATAAAATTTCACATATTGTCTTCATGTATGCATAAAAAATTGTTCCGTCAGATTATTGAGTCCATTTAATCTAGTTTTATTGAAGTACTTGACTATGGAAAAAAAATAATTATTTCAATGTATAGATGGTTTTGGAAGGGATACTGCTACATATTGTTAAGTCTAATAACGCATACAATATCACACTTGTATGTTACAATCTCCTGAGCAAATCAGTTAAGTGGTTGAACTTTTTCCACACCACTGGTGGGAATTCGCTTTATTTTTCTTAATACACATCCAATTTTACAATCTTCTACTAAAAACAATGTACTATGAATTGATGAATGTAATCAGTAGCTCATCCAAAGAAGAGTCTATACTGTCAATATGTTCCGAACAATACCGAATATTAAAATACAGGGATTGTGTAATAAGTAAATTAATTAAGGTAACTTAAATAAGACTTTAAGACAGAACTTTGGGAAACATTCGGTCCATTAGGTTTTCACTCCGATCAGCATCGTATGTCTGTAAGATATAATATTCATGGTAAGTTCCATACCGTATGAATTTTTAGATACCCGCTGCTTATGAACTGCAAACTGGAATGAAAAAGACGTCTAGTACAATGGTGATGATTTTCAACAATTTCACAGTTTATAATAAAAAATATCATAGTATGTACCTGTTTTGCATATCTAATAAATATAATTGTAATTGTAATTGTAATGTATTTTTATAACTCAAATGTTGAAAATAATGTGGTTTTTTCAATCCATTCAGTTTTTGTAAGATTGTTCTATGTTTGATGTGAACTACCGAAAGAGTCATCGAAATGCCTCAAATATTTCAACCGACTCAATGTTTTTGAATGCTAATATCTGTGTTTCATGTTACATCTTTGATACAACAATGATATTTTCTCCTCTCAGAACAAATATCATTATTCTGTTTAATAACACTCCACATTGTAAATTACTTACTAACGCCTGTTACCCCTCGTGGAGGAGCATAGGTCGCGTTTATTTGGAAGCAGAAGAGATGTGAAACGACAGCACACGAATCAGTATCAGTTAATGTCTGAAGAGCAAGAACACGATGTGCTAGCATAACGCGTATGTATTTCAAAATTCGAATAACGCGGCATATGTACAAAAGGGCAAAACCTGTCGCAAAAAAGCCTCATCCATCATTTTGCAAGTCTAGTTTATGTAGGGTTTGTTCCTCTTTTTCCAGCCTGTTTATTATTTTTTTTACCATTCAATAAGAAAAACAGATTCACATTAATAATGACACATGTAATGATTTCTAACACTGTTACACTACCCCGTCTCTTTAGGGGGCACTGTCCTCAGTGCCTGGGTGTGAACATGGGTATGCCACACCTCCTTCTAATGGTATTTCGTAATAGCAGGTGGCTGGCGGGGGGGTTCGCAATTACTTACTTACTTACGCCTGTTACTCCTCGTGAAGGAGCATAGGCCGCTCACCAGCATTCTCCATCCAACCCTGTCCTGGGCAATCCTTTCAAGCTCTTTCCAGTTCTTATTCATCTTTTTCATATCTGCTTCTATTTCCCGACGTAATGTGTTCTTTGGCCTTCCTCTTTTCCGCTTCCCTTCAAGATTCCAAGTTAGCGCTTGTCTCGTAATGCAGTTTGATGATTTCCTCAATGTATGTCCTATCCATTTCCATCGTCTTTTCCTAATTTCCTCTTCAGCTGGAAGCTGGTTGGTTCTCTCCCACAAAAGGTTGTTGCTGATGGTATCCGGCCAATGGATGTTGAGTATCATGCGTAGACAGCTATTAATAAATACCTGTACCTTCTTGATGGTGGTTGTTGTAGTTCTCCAAGTTCCAGCTCCGTACAGTAGAACTGCCTTGACGTTCGTATTGAAGATTCTGACTTTGATATTGGTTGAAAGTTGTTTTGAGTTCCATATGTTCTTCAGTTGAAGGAATGCTGCTCTAGCTTTGCCAATCCTCGCCTTGACGTCTGCATCTGAACCTCCTTGTTTATCGACGATGCTTCCCAGGTATGTGAAGGATTCCACGTCTTCCAGAGTTTCGCCATCAAGAGTGATTGGATTGCTGTTCTCCGTGTTGTGTTTGAGGACCTTGGTTTTCCCTTTGTGTATGTTAAGGCCTACTAATGCAGAGACTGCTGCTATGCTGGCTGTCTTTATCTGCATTTGTTCGTGTGTATGTGATAGGAGGGCTAGGTCATCTGCGAAGTCCAAGTCGTCTAATTGGTTCTGAGCTGTCCATCGTATGCCGTAGTTTCCCTCAGATGTCGAGGTCTTCATAATCCAGTCGACCACCAGAAGAAACAGGAAGGGAGAGAGTAGACAGCCTTGTCTTACTCCGGTCCTTACTTGGAATGCGTCTGTCAGCTGTCCTCCATGCACTACTTTGCACTGTAGTCCATCGTATGAGTTCCGGATAATGTTGACAATCTTCTCAGGAACTCCGTAGTGTCGAAGAATTTTCCATAACGTCCTCCTATCTACACTGTCAAATGCCTTCTCATTATCAATGAAGTTGATGTAGAGTGACGAGTTCCACTCAATTGATTGTTCGACGATGATCCGTAGTGTCGCAATCTGGTCTGTGCACGACCGGTCCTTACGGAATCCAGCTTGTTGATCTCGAAGTTGAGCGTCAACTGCGTCTTTCATCCTGTTCAGTAACACTCTGTTGAAGACTTTACCCGGTATTGACAGTAGTGTAATGCCTCTGTAGTTTTCACACTTGCTCAGATCTCCTTTCTTTGGAATCTTGATGAGGTGTCCTTCTTTCCAATCCATCGGCTTTTGTTCCTCCTGCTAAATCTTCTTGAATAGAAGATGAAGCATGCTTGTAGTTACTTCGATGTCTGACTTCAACGCTTCAGCTGGTATGTTGTCAGGTCCTGCTGCTTTCCCGCTCTTGATTTGTCTGACGGCCATTCTGATTTCTTCTGTCGTTGGTGGATTGACATTTATAGGAAGATCTGTGTGTGCTGCTTCGATGTCCGGTGGATTCATTGGAGCCGGTCTGTTCAGGAGTTCCTCGAAGTACTCTGCCCATCTGTTGCGCTGTTGTTGAATCTCAGTGGTTGGTCTTCCTTCTTTGTCTTTGACTGGTCTCTCTGGTTTACTGTATTTCCCTGCAAGCTTCTTCGTCGTATCGTAAAGCTGTCTCATATTTCCTTCTCTTGCAGCTTTTTCCGCCGTCGTTGCTAGTTCTTCCACGTATTTTTGCTTATCAGCTCTAATGCTCTTCTTCACTTTCTTGTTTGCTTCTATGTACTCTGCTTGTGTTTGGACTTTCTCTGCTCGTGTTCGACTGTTGTTAATTGCTGTCTTCTGGTTCTTTCTTTCTTTGATCCTGTCCAGTGTTTCTGTAGAGATCCATTCCTTGTGATGATGTTTCTTGGGGCCCAGAACCTCTTGACACGTTGAAGTTAATGTTTCTTTGATACCTTTTCAGTTATCCTCCATAGTAGTTTCTTCTTTCTTCAGTAGATCCTGTAAGGCTTGGAAGGTGTTGTTGAGAGCTATCTTGAATTGGTTGAGTTTGTTAGTATCTCAAAGAAAGGCTGTATTGAACCTTTGCAGAGCTGTTTGTCCAGTTGTCCGGTCCTTCTTTAGCTTCAGTTTCAATTTGGCCACAACCAGGTGATGATCTGAAGCTATATCCGCTCCTCTCCTGGTTCTTACATCTTCCATTGTCCTTCGGAACTTCTTATTGATGCAAATATGATCTATCTGGTTCTCTGTGGTGTGGTCCGGTGAGATCCATGTAGCTTTGTGTATACGTTTGTGTGGAAATGTTGTACCGCCTATGACCAATTTATTGAATGCACACAGATTTGCAAATCTTTCCCCGTTTTCGTTTCTCTCTCCCAGTCCATGCAGTCCCATGATGTCTTCATATCCGGTGTTGTCCATTCCGACTTTGGCGTTTAGATCTCCCATCAGAATGGTGAGGTCCTTTCTTGGGCACTTCTCTATGATTGATTGCAGCCTCTCATAGAATTGATCCTTAACGTCGTCGTTGCTATCATTGGTAGGTGCATAACATTGGATAATGTTCATTGTGATACCCTCCTTCTTTGTTTTGAATGATGCTTTGATGATTCTGGATCCGTGAGATTCCCATCCTACAAGTGCATTTTGTGCTACTTTGGATAGCATTAGAGCAACTCCCTGAGTGTGTGGAGCATTTTCCTCTTCGTGACCGGAGTATAGCAGCATCTCTCCCGTATTTAGCCTTTGTTGTCCAGCTTGGGTCCAATGGGTTTCACTGATTCCCAGTACTGCCAAGTTGTATCTCCTCATTTCCGTTGCTATTTGACTGGTCTTCCCGGTCTCCCACATTGTCCGGACGTTCCATGTACCTATAAAAATTGTTGCTCTGGTTGTTAGGAGGGGCATCGGCCTTGTGGCTTCCGAAGGAACTCGGCTTTCACCATGAAGCGTCATATTACCTCTAACTCCCAGGGCAGGGTTTAAATGGTTTGAGTTATTTTTTCTGGTTAGCGTTTTTTTAGCGAGTTAGGTTTCTACGGGATGGGGACGCTAACCCCATGCCCAACCCTCCTCCTTTACCCGGGCTTGGGACCGGCAGTAACTCTGGAAGAGTTACAGGCGGAGTTGGGGTTCGCAATCTGGGTATCTAAATGCACCATCGTTCAGTTTAGTTTCAACTGGTTATAATGTACTGTTATTACGTCGTCTTGGGGTCGCTGAAGGTTATGCACGACAAAGCTACTGGAAAACCGAATAAGCAATTTCATAGGATCCTAGCTAAGGGTGGTGGAACTTACTGCATGTTTCCAGTAGAGCCACAGGGCGGTACAGCTAAACACGGTCTCCAGGTTTATACACCGACCCGTTCACTTGTCGGTCGTATACATCATGCTGGTGTTTGCTCGCATTCTGCAGATTGGTTCTGACTAGGCGGCACACGTCGATGATACATCTACGAAGATTACGAATGTATGGTACATCTTCCTGAGACATTGAAATATCGCATCATCCCAACATTCAGTCGACGATTTACTGATGAACGATTGTAAAATGGCCTTGATGGTCCTGTTTGTTCTTTCCATTAATCCATTACTTTCCTGTTGGTACGCGGTAGTATATGTTTTCCGGATCCCCAATATCTAGCATACCTGAGCGATGAGATGACTCTCGAAAGCTGCACCCTGGTCAGAATGGAGTGCCGTAGTAAGAAACCCAATGACCAATGAAAGTTCATGCAACCGTCAGCGCTTCGGTCTGCGAATTATTTACTAAAGATAACAACATAGAAATAGTAAGCCACTTATGACAGAGCAACGTGCCGTCTTTGTGCCAAATGGAGTAATCTGATATTGTATGGTGACACGTTATTTCTAGTCAGTGAGTCTAAACAACCTCTGTTGATAGTATCACGCGAAAAAGTTCAGAATATTGTGTAGTAGGTGCATCACTTTACATTGTACATCTATGTGTTGTAGTATTAATTTAATAAACATTCAAGTATTAATAGTGTAATAAGACAAAAATTATCAGAACTGTTTTCTCAGTAAATAATATTTTGTGCTCAGTGTTTTTCGTGTCGATCATATCCTTATATATATATATATATATATGGAAATTTCTGATTAAATAATTGTAATATCATGAAACTATCCAACCTTTCATTGATTTTAAATTGTATAAAATCTCTTGATCGTTTTGTGTTTTCGCTTGTCACTTAAATCTATTCTTCTAGTATTAACTTTAAAACACACAATAATAATAATAAATCGCTTCTCGACCTCTTTATATTTATACTAATTTACTCAATAAAATTGTGTTACAGAATGTGGCGGCAAAAATTATCATTTTATCCATCCATCTGCAAACTTGGAAGAAGCTGCTGTAGGCACTATCCGAAGTTCATTTGAATATTCTGGTCAAAAATGTAGCGCATGTAGTCGACTTTATGTACCAGAAAATTTATGGCCAAAATTTAAACAAATTTTACTTGGTCATTATGAACAATTGAAAATTGGATCACCACTTGATTCAGATACATTTACATCTGCAGTCATTGATCATACTGTGAGCGGTTGGTATTATTATAATCTTTTTAAGGGGTTTTTATGATCACTTAACTATAGTAGAAACGAAAATCAATTATTATGTGAGTTGTATTGGAATCTTCGATAACGAATTCATGGCTACAGGATTTCAATCCCGACTACTTGGTTACAGTTCCGAGCTTTTATGTAAGCAGCCAGGTAGTATTAGTAACAGTAAAGTGGCTCAGAGGTTAAAACCTCGACCCACCTTCCTCTGTTTGGGCTGCCGGGTAATATCACTAGACATCACACTTGAAGTGTGAGACTCCCAGCCATATACGCGAGTCTTTACGTAATAAATAATGTAATAAAAAGGTTTTAAGAGCATGACCCAATAGTGTACTTAAATAGTTAAATTCCAACTAATAGTCTGGTTCTTTCAGTTTCCCGACTAGTTTATTCATCAAAGAGTAAAATGCGATATTATGTATCATATACATAATTTAGTCTAACCATTGATTATAAAGTACCCATCAGAACAACTACTTTTCTTTCTCTAATTTGTTTTCTACGAATTTCAATTTGTCGAATCTTTAAGTTTATCAGTTTCTTTCTGTTGTTATTTCACTCTTTTATATCTCAATTTATTTGGGTCACTTTTTAAAATCAAGAATATCCTACTTCGTTCGTCGTTTTCCAAATTATACTAGGAATAACCACCCAACTGTTACATCCTTGATCTGTCTACCCAATATTATACACGGAAAATGACTAACATGACTACAGCGCACAAACAATTGTTCGCTCAAGCATTCTTCATTTTTGAATTAGAAAATTATAATTGTGTCCAAACTGGCCATTAGGGTAGAAAAATAGAGTACCAAAGGTAACGTTTAAATTACAATAGCTTCATAACAGAAAAGGCTTGACAGTGAACCATACATCAAACGAAAGCTTATGATTTATACAATGAAAAATGGGACAAAACTAAGTGTTAGTATTTTACGAGCTTTGAATTAAGTGAAATAACGTCACTGAAGATAGATCCCGTTGTTAGTAATGTTAGTCAACTGTTTATTCATTTATCTTTTTATACTAATCTGAATTGGAATTGAGAATTAGAAATAAATCGATAAGTTTTTCAGTTGACTTGTCTTCTCTCTCGCTTGTCAACCAGTCAGATGACAGAATAGTTTTTGTCTTCGCCCAAGGTCGTTAGTTTCAATTCGGACTCACTCATTTCTTTCCTTAAAAAGAAGTGCCCATATCTTGGGACGACTTTAAAACTCTTCTACAAATTCAACAAGCTCAGAGCGCTGCAAATCAAATGAAGCTTTTGGACGCTCTGACGCAGAAGTTCTCATTTCATTCAACTTGAATCTCTCAACCAGATCAATATAGAAGCATCGCAAATTCCATTTGTGAATCCAACTGTAATCCTGAATCTGATATCATATTCGATTCCTGGTTCCATCGTTTCGAAGATATGTTCCGCGCCGAACGCTCAAATTTCGATGACGCAGCTAAAGTTCGCTTACTTCTGAGAAGACTCAGAACAATAATAATAAATATGTGAATTTCATCCTGCCACAAAATCTTCGGGATTTATCTTTTAATGATGCAGTTCATATATTATCTAAATATGAAGTGACATTCACTGGGTCAAATCAAGAGCATATTCGCAACTTTCAAAGTAAATGGAAGTATGTAGACTTCTTAGTGAGTGGAAAATCTATCGTATTCAGTTAGATACAGCTTCCGATATTACACTGATTTGCAAAAACACGTGGCGTAAGCTAGGATGTACATGCATTCAACCAACCGAACATGTTGCCCGAAATTCCTGGAGTTATAGTGAGGCTAACAGGAGTCGTGTGCGAGGTGCAATTCAAGGAACATAGATTCGATAACGTCTGTTATCTGACAAGCCGGCATGAGGTATGTTCTCATAAGCCTTCCTCTGAATCTATCCGAATTTTTCATAAGATTTCTGAATCGAATGCCTCTAATGTAACATGATCTCATAAAATTTCCAAACAAGTACCTCCGATGCAATATGTTCTCATGATAATTTCAAGTCAAATACCTCCAATAAAAATGCTTTCGTAAGATTTCAAAATTTCATGCATTTTGTCCTTATGGTATTTCCACACCAAAATCCTCTGTTTCCTCTGAAATACCGTAAATCATCTTTGACAAAGCGTGCAGCTTCATTCCAAAACAAACTGGATTGTTGCAAATTCACTGAGGTATTTTCATTAAAACGAAACACAAAGCGCATCTTCAGATCAAAACAATCAGTGCCTTATTCTGCTCTATCAGTCATCGATCAAGAACTTGACAAATTGGAAGCGTTAGGTGTCATTCAACCAGTAAATTAATCACTGTGGGTTTGTTCCATAGTAGTTGTACGAAAGGCAAATGTGTCTGTCCTCATATGCACTGACTTCACTGGTCTGAATGATGCCTTAGAGGATCATACTTTTCCACTTCCTGTTCAGGAAGATTTATCTATCGAACCAAATGAAGGGAAGTATTTTTCCAAAATTGATCTTGCTGATGCATGTCTCCGAATAGTGGTTGATCCAACCTCCCAACCACTACTAACGATTAATACCTTGTTATGGTTTCTTTTATAACGACCCAGTTACTTTTAATGCTTAGTGTTTCTTGAACACGGCTTCACTCGGAAAGTCTCCAAATCAGAACACTGTTGAACAGGAACTTAATGATATTCTAAACAAACAAGGTTGAATGGAAGTAGGAATCACAGTAAGAGTCTCCCCCAAGTATCCAGCAGCACTAACCGTCTAAGAAGTGGCCAATCAACGTGTCCCAACACAATTCTGCACAGAACATGCTTTAATCCAATCTATATCCCGCCAACATACCCAAAGAAGCCTTTACCAATGTAAACGTTTACATTTTGGTGTGATACTGGCATCAGCTATCTTTCAACAAATGATGAACACTATGCTGGCGAATTTACCAGGAGTCGCTGTCTATTTGGATGATGTAATTGTTACAGGTCCCAGTAAGTCTAGGTTGTTTAATCGACTCGAGGCTGTTTTAGCCAAAATATCTGAATATGGATTCTATCTAAAAGAAGAGAAGTGTACAGTTTTGACGGACTTAGTAAAATACTTTAGTTTTCTTCTACTTAAGGTCATTGGTCTCAACTCGAACTTACGCATCTCTAGCTTCAAGGTTAATTCAGTTAGTCTATAGTGTCAAGGTATTAGCCTACATCGAGACAAGTTCCCTCCTGTGTATTATTGGGTAGACGGATCAATGACCCAACAATTATATTCTGGAATAATAATGTATTTCATCATTCCTACTGCAAGTAAAAGATTGTAGGTCGGTTTTAATACTGAATTATTAAATACAATGAGATTTTTAAATCTTTTTGATATTATTTGGGAATTGTTTTTATCAATTTACTACTTCAAAAAATGAATATAAATTCGATTTTAGGCATTCAATAAAATCTCTGGCTATCTACAATATGCATCCAGTTGTCCAGATATTGAGGTTGTCGCCGGTGGTCAGAGAGATGATAGTGTTGGTTACTTTATTCAACCTACAATTTTAATTACTAATAATCCAACAGATAAGTTAATGAAGGTATATATCATTGTTTATACTTGTAAATCGATATTGTTTAGCAACCAAAATAACGTCATTTTCTTTTGTTTAAAAGCCCTTAAATTATGTTTACAATGTTATTTGTATTCCGATAACTTTCTGTCATTTTACATTTCAGAATGGTAATTAGACAATTCATGATTTAATATCATGTGTGAACTTGATATTTCCAATGCTATTAATGTCTTTGGATTCTTCATCTTTCATATTAGCATGATGACTGATGTGTGTCAAACCTATTCTGTCCATCTCACTTAATGCACATTGGCTATTCAGTTGAAAGCCCTAACTCTGTAATTTTTACATGCTTGTCTTTTTTTTTGCTTTTCATGTTTTTTGTTGGGTACTTATAATATTTTGGAATTGACGATGATCTTATGAAACCACCCATATTTTTGTTATGCTCGAGTTTTACAGTCATGAAGCGAAATTAAACATACTGTATCAATGAATATGTGTATTGTGAATTAAGGATACCAAACTTAAAATTGATCGTCATACTGAAATCTCACTAAAAGCAAACATTGACAAGTTTATTTCATCCTAGTTAGTAGGGAAGTCGAATTTCTGATATTTCAAAATTTAGTTTAAGCCACTTTTTCAAAGAATAAACAACTTTCTCTTTGCTAATACAATTTTAATAATGGAGTGTTATATCTAAAAAATTTCCTCTTCTCATCATAAAGTTTTCGATAAGTCTGCTACTCGAACGCTTAATAGAAACTTCATAACTGCTTCATAAATCTCCGGGTTGTAGGGGAAAGACCTAAAGTAAGGAGAAAAACTTTACTTCTAGGCTCGTTTATTCGCAGAGAACAGCAGTATTTATCGTTTACTGGTAACCTTTAGAAACTTCTGAAGATATTGTTAATTTAATAGTAAGGTAATCCAATCAAGATTTTAGCACACAACTCATTAATTTCCTAGTAGTTCCTAGGGTGCTCCTGATGCATGCTAATTTAATGAAATGTTCTTATTCTTCTCTTGGCCTCTGAAGACCTTTTCGAGGAATTCTCTGTGGATCCCAACAGTCATTTCGGTCAAAGGTAGAATACTAGGTGTAAAATATTGTTGTATTAACTGTGTGTACATGGATGAATGGGAGTTGATGTAAAATCTAAACTTTGATTGAATGATCAAAATTTTTATCTTGGCTTATAGTTTACTATTGAACAGGTTGCATGTGACTTGAACCTTTTACATGATTATCTGCAAATGTTTAACTTGATGTCATTGATCATAGACATTCAATTCTATGTGTGATAACAAAGACATAGAGGATTTAATTGATACTTCATTTGTTTACTTTCTATAACTTCCATATGAATATAATTAAAGTTGATTTTCAATATAGTTATGGTAAATTTATTGTTAAATGAATGTTTAATGCGCATCTAGTTGATAAAATTTAATCACTTTATAATTAACTACTTATGAATCCAAAATTATCTATTAATAAAAATACTCTTGTAAAATAATACTACACTGTAGTTTACATTTATTTTGTTTTCGAAAATAATTCATTTCAATAATACTTCAATTCATAGTTCTCATTAAGAAATTAAACAAATATTTCATTAAGGAATATCTTCTTTTCATTTTCAAATGCTGTACAATTATATTTATATGGAAATCATGTAATCAAATATATGAATAAAGTTAGTATGATCATTTATTTAAAAAATGGGAGGTACTGTTAAGTCCCGATAAGCATAATGAATGATAATTTTTGGGGCCCATATATGAATAATTAATATGCGTATATTTTTATCGTATAACTGTTATGCAACTCAACTATTCATATTCATGTCCCTCTTATCATAAGCTTTATTTGGACCCATGGACTATTATTATGCGAGTTACCATTCTCTCCCTCTAAATGCAAAATGTTGCTTCAGGATTGGGTTGCGTTGACACCCGAACTAGTGATAGGGAGTGAAGTAGTTGAGCGTGTCGACCGCTTCACTTATCTCGGAAGTCTCATCAGCCCTTGTGGTCTGGTGTGTGACGAAATCTCAGTACGGATACAGAAGGCTCGACTAGCTTTTGCCAACTTGCGTCATTTGTGGCGTAGGCGAGATATCCGTTTATCAAACCAAAGGACGTGTTTACTGCGCAGCGGTTCGTTCCGTCCTACTTTATGGCAGTGAAACATGGCCAGTGAGAGTAGAGGATATTCGTAGATTACTAGTATTTGACCATAGGTGTCTTCGAAACATTGCTTGTATATGCTGGGACCACCGAGTAAGTAACTCAGTTGTTATGAAACGGGTACTAGGTAAGGATGGCAAATCAATTGAGATGGCTGGGACATGTGTTGCGCATGCCCGACCACCGACTGCCCCGACGTGCTATGTTTTATGGTGTAGGAGTAGGTTGGAAGAAAGCTAGGGGCGGCCAGACCAAAACATGGCAGAAATCCATGAAGTAACTGACAAGTGAACTGAGCCATGTTGGTAAGTGTAGACTACCTGGTTGGGGCCCGCGAGACGACAACAACCGATGGTTAGAGATCTTGAATGACATGGCTCAAAATCGTTTGCAATGGCGCAGGTGCATTCACTCTTTGTGTTCTCCCAAATTCTAATTTTCTGGATTCTTCATGTCTCTTTTAGCTGTTTCCGAATTCCACTGGATTATTCTCTTTGAATAACATCATCAAACCCTAATGTTCCCGATTACTACTTATACTTTCACTACCTCTACCACTACGGGATTTGAATTGATAACTGCATCTCTGTGCTAATGTGGTATGGAAACTCGAACTGATGTACGTACGTACGAAGTTCCACGTTGTTACTGACTGACTGATTTATGCCCTGTTTATTAATTACTACCTCCCTCATTCACAGCCACATTTGGCTAATTCTTGTACAAATGTTGTTTCATGTTTTATGGTACAGTGTAGTCTGTCTGGTAGGTATATCAACCCAGTATGCTTGAAACAAATGATTCATATTGCAGAGGCTGAGATTGGTGTTCTGAACTTAACTGACTGGGCTAGGTGGGAAGCAGGACCAATCAGGACTCTAAGCTGCTCGTACGTGTTTACGCGTCATTGATCCGATCGATAATTCACTGCCCTCTAATTGGCGGTATCGTTACGTATGCATTATCAGGGCACTCAAGCCACAAGTTATAACAGGTACATAATAAATTTCGAATAATTCTGCAAACAATTATTTAGTTAGTGGTTATCACTGATTAGTGAAGTATACCTTATTCTAATTTTCTCTTGTTATCTTAAAAATAGATAAACCAATTCATTTAGTCAGGATATATTACATTGTAAAGTTTGTTTGAATTACTTACATCCAAGTTAGTTTCGTGTTGATATTTTTACATTCTTACATTACGTTGAATTAATCAATTATCTTCGTCAAAACACTTTTATCATTATGTTTAAAGTATGTATTAAATAGAATAATTCTAATCAGCATGTATTACATATTTTCTATACAGTGAGTTATTCTGTCATTCGTAAGGTTTATTTCATCAAACAACTCAGATAGAATCTGATTATATGTATATGAATATTTCATATATTGATTTCATTTATATTAATATTTGTGCTTTTTTTTCCTAATTAAATTTAGGATGACATTTTTGGACCAATTTTATGCACATATTTATATCGTGAAAATGAAATTGAGAAAACCTTAGATCTTGTTGATTCAACTACGGATTATGCATTAACTGGTAACTTCATGAATATATATCATAAAACTATCCTTTACTCATTTATTAATCGTTTTCCAAGTCAACTAAGAATTGTTGTATGCACCCTTCTGGACAACATTATCATCACGTAATTCAATGAGAAGTGAATCAATGGAGTTACTTCGCAACTGAAAACAGTTAAAACAAACATTAAAATAATGACAACACTGTTATAAACAATTGACTGAATTCCAAGTCAATAAAACAAGCAGTCGATTGTGGAAAAATTCTAATAGTTCATTTCTCAATAAAGTATTTGTTAATGGTATTGTCCAGAAAGTTAATGAAAGCTTTACAATTGAACCATTCGGCTAAGATAACACATCACTTTCATCCTGAGTTACAAATATTTCCCACAATCTCACCTTGAAGTTATGAATAAATACACTTAAACTATTTGTACGACAGTAAAAATAAAGCACAGAACATTAATTTTTACCGTTCGGTTTTAAAGTTTTTCTATTCATATTAATAAGTGATAAGTTAATTTAAAATATTGCTACTGTTCATATAATAAATTCAATCTGTGTAATGCAATAATCTCTAAATTAATCAGTAGTTTGTGTACAAATTAAATGCTTCATTTTAATTTGGAAGTGAATGGTTTAGTAGAATGTTTGTAAAAATTACCTCGTTGAAATTTACATTTTATATTATTCAAATAAGTTGTAACAGTTTTCGTCTTCTTTTTTTTTCTTCAACTATCCATTTACTGGTTTTAAAAAAATTTAGATATTATTATTCTCTTTTTTTTAAAAAAGGTTCTATTTTTGCTCAGGATGAAGAATTTATTAAGTATGCAACTGATCGCCTTATCGAAACAACCGGTAATTTTTATGTAAATGTTCAATCCACTGGATCTGTAGTTGGTCAACAACCATTTGGCGGAGCTAGATTATCAGGTAAATTTAAAGTATTATACCATTAAAAAGAGCCAACAATGAAACCATAGCGTTTTTATTCTCCTGCCTTTGTCCAAAGAATTTAAGAGAATTATTATTATTAATTAATTAAATAATTAAACAATAATAATTAGCTTAACTATTAACAAAACAAAATTGGTCATTGTGTTGAACTGTTGAAAAAATTTAACTAATTAGTTGTAAACTATTTTGCCATATCTGAAGAGATTACGAGTTCTCTTAATCTGAGAACGGATCGAAGACTATAACACAATGTCTAAATCGGCTGACTATTCCGATGGCCCCAGCCCTGCTAACTAGAGAGTGAAGTCTAAGTTCGAAAGAGGGAAATATATTCCACAATCAGCCAGAAGCACGAACAACAACAATAAACACAACGCAAGCGTATATATACAGCATAAAAAATGTCCTTGGGAAACGGTACAAAATAGCATACTAAAGAGACAACGAACCAATAGTATTTAAGGTCCTCCCAAGTGGGAAATTCAACACGAAGGTGAAATGGTTGTTTTTGGTGCGAAAACAAGAAATTCGAATTTTTACAATAGAATTACAAAAATAAGGCGTTTACAAAGTGAGTTCTGGGGATTTAACATCGCCAACACCTCCCCTTTTAGTAATGTACGTTCTTGGGGTCCACTTTCATCATGACCGTCTGTACTTCTTCCTGTGTTGGGCCTACGGGTAGATTAAAGGTATCCAGCGGGAGATTTTCTTCTGTCTATGGGCGAACTGGGGCTAGCCGCTTATGTATCTGGTTTCGGTGTCGAGTCCATCCGTCTGTTGCCACTCCTACCTCGTACATAACATGGCCTAGTTCTCCGACCACACGTGTCTCGGTCCAGGGACCATGATTTTGTTTGCAGTCCCGAGCAAACACCGGACATCCATCGAGATGACTCGATGCTGTCATCTCACACCAGTTCCCGGACGCGACAGAAAAAGCTGTTATGCATGCATCTCGTACATTAACTCCGGCAGAAAGGAAGTACAGCCAAATAGAGAAAGTGGCTCTTGCCCTTGTCTTTGCAGTGCGCCGTTTTCACAAGTTCGGGTCCAAAAGCTGAAGCGTCTGCAGCCACGATGATTGTCATGGATGGATCGTAGTGCGTTAATAATAGTTCCGAACTAATGATTGTCTTCAGCTTGCAAAAAGCAGCTTCACGCTCTTTCGGTCGATGATTTACTCTTCTAACTGATCGCAAGCCTCTTCTCATGATTTTCGGTTCAAAATCTGGTGTTCCAACCCACTCTGCAAATCGTCTCCAGCGATGGGTCTTGATACTTTTGGATTATGACTTTGACATTCAGTATCGGCGCACCCAACATTTTGGTTAGGCAGACACCTTGTCACGACTTATTAATGAACACTCTACGGCCGAGGAAGATGCGGTTATTGCCTCCCTTATGACAGAAGACCACGCGCATTGTTACCTGACAACTGCTGTTCGTGCATTGCCAGTCTCAGCATTTGAGATACAAACTGCCTCCAGGAACGACTCCATCATTTGGAAAACGATGAACTATGTCACCAATGCCTGGCTACCAATTGGATTCGATGGTGACATGAAGCAGCTTTACCATCGTCGGGACTTATTATGTGTTGTGGATGAATGCCTGATGTTTGGAGATAGAGTGGTGGTGCCAGAGTCCCTATGATCAAGGATACTAAAGCAATCCCATATTGGTCATCCTGGTATAGAGCGAATGAAATCCATAGCCAGAGGCTATACTTATTGGCCTCTCATCGACCAGCACATCTTGGATTTGGTAGGCAAATGCATGCAGTGTCAACAGGCGGCGAAGTGTAACGCAAAAGTGCCACCTGTCCCATGGCCGCGGCCTGAGTATCCCCGGTCCAAGATACATGTCGATTTTACCGGCCCAATCAATGGAACCATTTATCTAGTCGCGTTTGACGCCTTTTCGAAATGGCCAGAGATCGTTTCCATCATGCCACCAACGACTTCTCAAACAATGCAACTTTTGACGAAGATTTTCGCCCACAACGGATTGCCGGATGTAATCGTATCCGGCAATGGTGCGCAGTTCACCTCAATTCAGTTACAAGATTTTTGCAAACGGCTGTCTATCAAACATTTCCGCCCTCCACCTTACCACCCACAGTCAAACGGCCAAGCAGAAAGATTTGTGGATATATTCAAGAGGACTCTGACCCAGTTTAAAGAAGAGGAGACGCCAGTAGAAACATTGCAGAACTTCTTATTCGTTTACCGAACGACACGTAGTGATTAGGTGAACTCGTAATCTCTTCAGACATAACAACTAGTCAAATTTACTGAAGCTTATTAAATTTGGACTAAATGTTATTTTCTGTATAATTTAAATTTTATGATGTATTATGGTGAAATCGGCGCAGAATTAATATCATTATATTGATAACGTATATAGGAATATTAGAACGAATAGTTTCACTTAAATTGGTCGCCGAGTATAGAGGAGTTATTATATTTGAAATAATCTTAGCGATTGACAAGTTTGCTGAATGAAACATCAGAATTATTTAAATTCTAATCTCTGATATTATTTCTTATATGATTTTTATATAATGATAACGTATAATTTCACTAATTTAATCAGGTAAAAAGCCGTACTATACAAATTTACTTGGTTACTGATTCATTTAAGATTAAGCAAGTTATGAGGTTTTCACAATGTATCATTTCACTTATTATTCATTGTCAATTTAATGGAATAAAATTTTCCATAATCCATTTGTTCTATGCTCTGACCTTTAATAATCAGTAATTATGAATGATTTGACAGTACAGATTAATTGAATTTTAATAATTACCAGTTTTTGACATGATTTTTGTATGTTTATTTATAAGTAGTAGGAAAACTAGTTGACATTCATTACCTTACTATTATTGTTATTATCATAAGAATAAGAATAAAATATAATACTGATGTGTAAGTCTACAAAAATTCATAACTTTATAATATAAACTAATTGGAATTACATTAAGTCTCTAAAATTTCCAAGTTATGGTTACTTACTCATTTTACCATGTATGAACTAAACGTAACTTTCTGTTGATCTAGGTGATCTTGTATACTATAATATAAACTTTACTGGTTACTGAATGTGATAATAAAAAAGGAAGGATTCTCAAACCATCTATTGGCTTATCATATAAAAGTAGAAAAGTTGCACTATTGTGGTCTGTCTGATTTTTCGTGGCTTAGTGTAGGCCACCTCTTCTGAGTAAATAGATAATCGAGATGAAATTAACACAAGTCTAAATTGTACTAATATATAATAATATATTTATTATTGTTATTATGTTACGAAAAGCTAAGAGAGTATTCGGACTCCGTTATGTTATTCAAATGAAATTAGGGTCATCTTCAATAATTTTGAAGTTAAATTTATCGAATTTCATTTTTGTGTACCTGATTAACTTGTCGTGATTCTTTTTTTTTCTATGTTATAATCTAGGTACAAATGATAAGGCCGGTGGACCTCAGTACACTTTAAGATTCACTTCTCCGCTTTCGATTAAAACACAAATCAAACCCATTCCATCATGGAAACAAGCACATATGATTGACTAAGTTGTTTGATTCACTTTTACTATTTGAAAATTACTCATTCCATACGTATAAGGTTTAATCGTCGAACCATCTTTATACTTATTATTTCAACAAAATGTTTGTACTCCTTTTTTAATCTTACATGTAATAAATTTTATACTTTTCGATGGTATTTTGCTTATTTAAAAACCTTTCAAACGGTTGTCACAATTCTACTTGTATTCCGATAAACTGTAGTATATTTTCAACTCGTTAACCTATTGTGAATCAGTTATAGGAAAAAATCTCATTCATAGGTTTCGGACGAAGATCTTCCTGTCATCTAGTGATCAGTAAGCATCCAGATGGCACATATTTCAAAATGCGTGAATTTTAATTCTAACCACTTCTGGATTTCCTTAGTTCCCTTCTCTTTGCATTTCATGCACGGCTAAAACTAAGTAAGTAGATGTATAAAATGGTTTTTAGTTTTTTTTTAATCGAAGTCACATACATAACAGTTAAGCTTCATGATGAGACGGTTGACAATTTAACACATATTGTTTATCTCGTAATTTCATTGATAAGTCTTCTAATTGTTGTATCTGGTCGTCGCTGATGTATTATGTCGGAATAGCCTATCACTTATACTCGGATAACAAGGAACCACTGCAATTCCCATGACGCGAAAGTAAGAACACAAAAACTTGTACAGGTGATGATTTACTAACCTCAAAACACGACGACACTAGTCGAAAATACATTCATTTATATGTAGATTTGTGTACCCACTGTGTTTATTAATTAGGATGAAATCACATATATGGAAAATACTTCGAGTTATTATAACAAAATCACATGCTACATGTCATGCTGAGTATAGTTCATGTCAATTTTTAATACAAGAATATCGTATGTTATACAGAATAAAATGTCACATTGGGAAACAGAAACAAATACTACACTGAGTAGTCAGTTATCACATTGAATTAAAACGAAAGTAATGTTGAACAATAATCACAATGGGTAAAATAATGTAATTTTGACTTTTCATCCCGTTGTATCATTCATAATATACCTAGTAGACTTTCCGGAATAGAAATCAAAAGGTGCTATATTTACTATCTGTTCTAATTAAGGCTAGGAGATTTAAGGAAATCGAGAAATTCAGTATGCATACCTGTTTTGGATTCTACTTAAATATTCACATAGAATTCAGACTGTATAAACATTGAATTCTATTGATTAGTGATTAGCAATAAGTTTTGACTGAGAGAGCTCAACAATGCCGGCGTGAGATGATGAATAGTTGAAGATTTAATTCGTCACGTATATTGGTCTAAAGGTAGTGCAATTGCTAAGAAGTCTGAAAGTTGTCACTGTGTCTAATCACATTTCTATAGAACCTTATTATAATGATCTCCAAGATAACTATTAAGATAAGCAAAAATCAAATGAATAGCAACTTGATGCATACAAGATAAATAATCTGTTTTAATTAACAATTAGCACAGATAACTAATAAAATGTTTAATAAAACGGATTCCAAGTTGGATTTGGTAACAGTCTTCTTAAGTTTACATGGGTGAAGTATGTGTAAGCAATTAACATATTTGAAGACCCTAGTAATCCTGTCTTTTATTATAAGCCCACAATTTCAAAATAGTGACTAACATATGCACAACGGTTAAAGGTCATATGATTACTTGCTATTGAAATTTCATAGCATTTCACTTTGGACAGTTCATTACAATGCGAATGAGACGACAACTGTCTGTTCACTCAACATGTTTGCTCTAACAAGCCCATGGAAATTAGTAATCACCGTCTTGAGTGATGAGCGTTATTGTTACGCGCATACTTCGCACGATTACTATGGATAGAATGAAATACTGACGGCCTTGAGCGAATCCAAGAGAGACGTTGATATTAACTAATCGAAATGTAGCTTTTGTGAACGAATTTTATATTACGAGAAAACGGCAAAACTGAAAAGAATGTAGTGTTAGAATGTCAGCATTTCAACTCTTATCCTGAGCCTAAACCTGATATGCCTTACACTAATATTCCTAAACCTAACGATCCTAATTTTAATACTTACAACTGGGCTATTAAAAAACCTCATCTCCTGACTATGTGATTTATCTGCGAGTCATTTCCTGACCATAGTTATGGGAGATGCTTTTTCCCAATGGTCCAATATTCTGTAGGAGATCTACAATCACATCAAACAAATTATCGAAAATGCAGTTTCATAAAAAATGGTGTCCTGCAGGAGGCTATTATAGTGTTCAGCTCGATTAGATGGCTAGAATCACCCTAGGGGTAAATCCCCTAATAAGATACTAATATGTAGTGGTTCTCACCAGGCACTGAGGGAACGTGTGATGAAATCTGGAATAAGAAGAAACAAGAGAAAAAGTGAGCCTACAACTCAGTAAGCACCTAGAATGTACTTACATTTAATGATCAGAGTAATTGGTAAAAATTATCCATAACATAACATAGGATAAAGACAGTCTGAAAATCGAAATTGCGTATTGGTGAAATAAGACTGAAGTGTGTTGCACTATCCTTAGTTCCGTTTTGAAATTCGCGCTTAAATCAACAATCAGTATTTTTATTTCTATTCACTGGTTTCATTCATTTCAAGGTCGTCAGTTCAGTTTAGATCTATCCTCAAACTTCCTCAAATATGATGTTATTCTAAGATAGCTTCAGGTTGTCCAGTTTTTGTTAAGAAACATTGGTTCTTTAGTGGAATAATAACCTCAGTGACGTTTTAATATTGCTCTACTGACTTTACTGTCATTTGATTAGTTGTTCTCACGTTTGTTATTTTTGTAAGGTCATGTTTGTTTCAATATATACAGACTTGATCTATTCTAAGTATGCTTTCTCAAATGTCGAGCTCCTCCTAACTTTCACGTTGTAGATTATACTTGTGGGTTGATTGTCCAGTCTATCGAATTCGTGTAGATCCATGTTCAATCATTCTCACTTAGAAAATACCGTAAGACTGATCACAAGACATAACATATTATAACACTAGAAAAATGAACATAATTATTTGATTAGCAGAGCTGTAGGTTCAGTATCAAACATACTTATACTTTGTCAGTCATTCGATGATCATACTTACTGTTCTCCATCAATTTCAGATGTGATGTTCTTATGTATGAAATGTTTTTAGGGATCTCATGTGTCCATTATACATTATTTTGTAATTAACCGTTATTATTTTGTTCATTCAACCTCTCGAAATTTATTATCACTTTTCATCCATAGGTTGTTTACGATTTTTATTCACTTTATCTGATATTTCCTCTAGACTGTCTTAATACATCATTTACAATATTCAGATTAGATTCCATCCTATGAACTCAGTTTTTTGATACTTTCATCACTGTTATGGTCTGTATTGATAATTAGAAGTTTCGCATCCTTCAGTGATCATTTCATACTAATGGTCGTCAATCAAGCCTCACACCTATTTTGTCTTATCACCTTATCTTACTTTATTCTTTTTCAGTAGCTTAAATATTTTATGAAAATTATCAACGGCGTAGTTTATAAAACTGATTAAGCGTATAAGTATATAGGTAAAATCATTATCAGTGTAACTTTAATTCTCCATCTATTGATAAAGTTTTCACGATTAGATATAAAGAAAACCCCCCTTCTATATATATATATATATATATATATATATTATTGGTTTCCAGCGCCATCATAAAATCGGCATAAATTCTTCCATTAAATTAGATATTTTTCAAAATTTAGTTATACATCAATCAAATATTAATGGAAATATTATGTTATGTGTGAAAAAAACTGAATAAATGAAACTTTAACTATGTATCTACACAATTATTCAATAATTTCAAGGGATATGGTGTTATTAAAGGCAAATTTAGAAAAACTCTATTCGATCTCGGAGCTATTAAGCTAACATGTATTATTTTATGTAGTTTGATTGGCGTTAAGAAACAAAATCATCTTTCTGATTATTGTTTTCTAAGTGGTCAATGAAAGAAAATAAATAGAAAATATATGACATGCATCTTATGATGAAATAAACATCACCATAAGTATTATCATAGTAAAAGTAGTTAGAATCTTATGCATTGTTAGTTATTTCCTAAAGCTTACTTTCAAGATGATAATTAATTCTGGATAATTCTATTTTAAAAGAATAAGGGCTTATTTCGATTAATGTGAAACGTCAATGCTATCTAGAACCATCACATCTAGTTTCTGGATAGCATTAGAATCTGGGGTTCACATTACTTTCTATTATGGACTATTCATTTAGATATGTCTGTGACCTAACGCTGGTGTTTGCATTGAAACTCGAACCAACTACTGTCACTTCAAATACCAAATCTTTGTTTATTTAGTTACTAATTACAAAAAAGCCACTAATCTGTTAAGCAGATTTGATTTTTATTCGTAAAGATTAATATTATTCTGTCATGTTTACAAGGGTACTCAGTAGCTAACTGTTTAAATCTTTGTGGTTTGAAGAGACATGTACTAGATCGCAGTTTCAGTATAAACATCATTACTGAAGTGTAGTTGATGAGTCCGAAACGGGAAGAAATGATCCCCTTAAATTTTATTGGTATTCAAAATCAAAACATATTAGAACATATAACGAAATTGTCACATCTAGGCATCCGCTCAGAATCCATATATGTCAAAAGTTATTAATCAAGAAGTTCATTCGTGAGTGCCAACGACAGGATCATACAAATTCTAACAAATATCCCATCTAAGAGAATATTTATAAATCACTCATTTGTTATCTATAAAATTTGTTTGCTTATGTGTTGATTATGACATCATTTTGAAAGATAATAAAAACTATCATTCTCGTCATCCTATCATCAATTCAGTAAATAATAGAGGTCACTTTTTGTAATTTATCTTTAGGTACACAACAATTCTGCTAAAGAATTTAACAAGCGTTCTTCATAACATTGATCATTACCTATTACTTTGAGTACGGTTTTCTCCATAAACTTGTAGAAATTTGAAAAAAAGAAACTGAGAATTGGTGAGTATTAAACAACTTTTCTTACTATACTTCAGAGGTCTTCAGCAGAGGGCCGAATCATTACAATTCAGAAGGAAGCATATAACTTAGTTGTAAGACGATTACTTTACCGAATTTCAACTAGTGA